CATATTTACAAATTTACCCTTAGGGTATATATTTTTATTTGTAATTAAATACAAAATACTAATTTTAATTTTTATCGGGTCAAACGGGTCGGGTCGGGTTGACTCGGTCTCGAAGCGGGTCGGGTTTGGGTCCAGCAAACTGACTCGTTTCCAAAAACGGGTCAGGTTCAGGTTGACCCGTATGTATCCGGGTCAGTTTCGGGTTGAACCCGAACCCGACCCGTGACCCGATTTTGACAGGCCTAGTCTCACCCTTGCAGCGAATCATGTAATCGTCAAAAGCTGCAATGTAGTCCTTCATAGGTTTACTACCCTGGGTCAGCTTATTCCACCTATTCAGAAGCTTAAGAAAATACGAGGGAGGAAGGTACTTCTGCTTGAGCTCACGCTTCATGGAAGTCCAATTGATAATAACGAACTCATTGCAGAACTCCCTACGGCTTTCTAGGTTCTCCATATTGGCTGGCTCTACAGGTGAGCTTCATCTTGGCAAATATCACTTTTCTAGCCTCAAATATATTGTACTATTTGAAAAAGCTATCCATGACCTTGATCCAATCCGAAAGAGCTAGGGATCAAGTGTACCATCAAAAGGGGGAGCATCAACCTTAATATTTATCAATAGTGGTGCATCAGGGTTGTGGTTATAGTCATGGCCATACTGGGGAGCTCGATAAGGGGCACGGGTGTATCCCTCATCCGGTACGGTGTCATCCCCATACATGGAAGGAGGCCTAGATGGTGTGTAAGGTGATCGGTGATTCCTAGCTCGGTCTAAGGTGTCAAATCATTCCGTTGTCTGGCGAAGGAGCTCAGCAATATCAGCTTGATTCTCTCTAAGTTGTTGATTGATTGTGCTCATCTGACCTACCAGTAGGTTTAGGGTCTTGTGAATTTGTTCAGGGTCCATCTTATGTCTAAGGGGTGACTCAGGGTTATGCAAACAAAAAGAAATAATATAATGAAACAAACAAGTGAGGTGATGCGTGTAGGATACAATTTAGATGCTAACACATAGAATAAAGAAATCCTAATAGACAAATAAATGCAACCATGCCCTGATACCAAAATGATGTAGAACTAGATATGCAGGTGACATTGATTCCCCGTACTTCAACAAAGTTTAACAAATTATTGATTTACCATAGACTTAAGCAATGACTTCATCATGCAAGGGGGTAATCAAATTTAAGCAATCAATCACAAGCTAATAGGAGGACCAATATATAATCAAATAAATTAAAATCATGCTAGCGTAATGTTTCTAAAATAATCCCCAAATTAACAAATAGATTAGTCACTATAAAGACTCACTTACACGACCCTCTTGGTATGGGCTACGCGAATAAGTTTTCATAATAAAATGATGTCTCGATTGAGGGGTCAAAAGGTGCAGAGGGGGGGGGAAAGGGGAGCGGGGGGGGGGGGGGGGGAGTTTAACTGCAAAGGCGTAGATACTAAGCCACGATGAAGTCATTTGGCTGTCTCGGTGGGAAGGACAGCACTACGAATCCCTTTCACACGCTTGACAACATTATGTCGTCCCTAGAAATTTGGACAGCAGTTGTGTGGTTGCCGAAATCAGGAACAACGGGTACTGGACTTGGAAAATGGATGAATCTGTGTATCACCAGCATGTAGCAGACCTTGGGATGGCTTGGGAGAGAAATAACAAGCAATTGACATTAGAAAAATAGCAGCAATCATCATTAGATGTCATCCGAAACAGCTAGACAATAAATATCAAAAACCTGGGTCCAAGATTTATGTCTAGAAGATTTGTATAATTATGGTAAGACTCAATGAGGGAAGGGGGTCTGCCCAATCAATTGATTGGGCCTGGTTTGAGCTTTGATTGGGTTTCCAATTTCAGCCTATTGGCTAAGGAAATAGGATTCAATTCATATTTCCAATCAATAATTAGATATGTGGATGAGGATATCCTTCCAAACATAGCCCAATAATTTAGGTAATGAATTCAAAGCTTTTAGGATAATTCAAATTTGAATTCAGGTTTTCAAAATTAAGCTAGGCTAATTTAGGAAGGGGAATTACTGAGGATTCTTCAGTAAAATTTCAGATTTATGGATGGGGGTACCTTTCCAAAAATGATCCAACAATTTAGGAAAGGTGATGTGAAACTACTAGGAGTTACGTTTAGAAATTAGAAAGGTAGTTGATTAAAGCTTTGCTCACATAAATTTATTTCTAACACGTAAAAGAAAATTAAGAATTTGAAAATTTCAACTTGCTTAGGCAAAGTTGTGCAATAGAGAATAACCAAAACAGTTCTTTCAAAGTTCAAGGTAATATTAAATGCAAAGTACACATAACATAATCCAACGTTTAACAATGAGAGGTTCACCTCAAGGGCCTTCTCACTCAACTACTTGTAGGCTTTTAGCGGAGAAAGATGAACCATACGAGGAAAGAGATTACCACTAGAAAGATGGCGCCGAAGAACTTCGTTGGTGTAGAGGTAGCCAGTGGAGGTGAAGGTGGTGAGTGGCCGACGATGATCCAATCGTAGTCGGAAAATTGACCGTCGATGACGTGTGCAAGGACGGGAGAATTCGGTCGAAGTAATCTTCAATGGTGTCGTCGTCTTCAAAACCCACGTCGAAGAATGGAGATCATAGAATGTTGATTTTACCGTTGGCGTCGAACACAAGTCCCCATTCAAATTCGGGATCCGCCATGCATGCTTGAAGTTGTGAGAGAACTCCAATGAGAATAAGAGATATATGAGGTGGTGAGGGAGAGCCCTTGTGGTTCACAAGGAAGGAAGAGGGAGAGGAGGGGGCGGCGGGATTTCCAAGGAGAGAGGGTGAAGCCGGCGGGTGTAAAGGGAATAGGCTAGGGTTTGGAGAAATTAGGTTTAGAGGCTTGTATAGGGGATTAATCAAAATCTGAAATTTAATTTCAGTTTTGATTAGATTGGGAGGGAATTGACTTGAATTTTGAATTTCAAATCAAAGGCATTAATGTCATAAATGGTGGAATTAAGGAGGGGAGCCAAGAGGGGGAGGCCGGCGGTTTTGGGAGAGGGATTTATTTGAAATTAAACTTTAATTTCAAATGGGGGAGGGGTTTAATGTGGCAATTAATGAGGGGGGGAGG